TTAGATCCATGTATTTTGGACGCCTCCCAAAATAAACCTCCTGGGTAATTTATCTTCTCTGAGTTGTCATAAAACTTATGGCTGCTTGGTGCTTTGCTCTAGATAGATATTTATATATCATACGTATTTTGGTTTCTGTCATTATTTTTCTAAGGTTTATAACTGTGTATTCCAAATTAATATATTCATTATTTAGAAAGCAATAAAGTCTTTGGACATTTGTTTTCTACTAGTTTAGTGTCCCACAAATATATATTTTTAATATGTACTAGCCAATTCTCATTATTTTCTTACATCCTTGTCATTTTCATGTGCTTGTTTGTGTATTATCAAATAGGCCACTATCCATAGTTAGATCAATAATTATTATCATAAAGACATCTAAGAATTAATTCCTAAATCTGAGATATTTCAATATTTCCTCATCAGAGGTAAATTCAGATGGTAATGTTCTCTATTACTGATATTTTAGGTTTTCTAATTTGTAAACTTTCTGATTTATTAATAAGTAAATACAAATTTCTTTCTTTCCTCTCTTCCTTCTCTCCTTTCCTTTCTCCCTCTCCCCAGCTTCCAAATTTACTATCTTGAGTGCCTATTATCCTTTACTTGCTCCCAACTATTAGGAAAAGTCCTTGCTTTTCTTGAAGAGTTCCTTTTATGTTAAAGAATGGCTCACTACAAACTCCATTATTACCTAAGTGTTTTAAGACTTAGGAGAAGTCTCGTTTTACAATCACACTTGGTTCCCAGGAGTAAACCAATTCTCTCTCCTTGAGAGAACACCCTGCTAAAGGACCCAGCTAGAGCTTGAAGCTTTCTGGCTACACAGGTATTCAATAGCTTCACTGCCAACCTTTTTGGCACACACAGGCTCATCCTAGGTGTATCCTGCGTTAGGGTGGCACACCAGGCAGAGCCCTGAAGAGCAAGGTCCTGATGCCTGCTCTTTCCATGAGAGCATCACTTTAAACTTGTGGGTCACTTTAATCTTGTGGGTGTAATTTTTTTTCTCCACATGATTGTCAGTCATGTCAAATATGCCTGTGATCTCAGAACTGGAGAGACTAAATTCAGGGAATTAAGAGTTTGAAGCCAGCTTGGGTACCTAGCAGGACCCTGTCTCAAAAAGGAAAAAAAAAGAAAAGAAAAACAAAGACACTTTAAGTATCACTGAGTTTTAGTCAAACCTTTCTAATCATCATAGGGTAATTATGTGACTTATTGTAATTTACTATAGTGAGCCACCGAACTTTGCAAGTGATAGTATTTCCATTTTTGCTTCAGCCGTTGGAAGCTTAACTCCAAATAGGCAGTCATTCAAGGTATCAGTGGCTCATGCCTGTCATCCTAGCTACTGAGGAGGCTAAGATCTGGAGGATCTTGGTTTGAAGTCAGCTCAGACAGAAAGGACTGTAAGGATTCCTTCTTAAAGTAGCAAAATGTCAAACTGGAGGTGTGGCTCCTGTATAGCAACAGCTAAAATCAAGTAAACAAGATGAGGGAGGGCATAAGATGAGGGAGGGCATAAGATGAGGGAGGGCATAAGATGAGGGAGGGCATCTTGGGTTCAAGTCCTTGCTGTGGCAGGTCCACATGCCACACACACGTATACAACCCCCCCCCCGCCACACACACATGCTCACAATCTTTCCCTATAACATCATAGCATGTAGTCTGTATCCCCAACTTTGCCTTGACTTTAGCTATCATCCTTTGCTTGTTTCTTTGTCAGGGTCCTTATGGTTCTGTTCTTATTGTATTTTATGGGCATCAGGCATTTGGAGCAAGGCAGGATCAAATAATATTTCCATAAATAAGATCAGGGGAAGAGAAAAGACCCAAGGGTCCTATGTGCTAGCTTAACTCCAGCACTGAGGGACTTGTGGCTCACTACAATTAACCCTTGTGAGTCTCTATTTGTTTAATGGTCATGTGGGTGAATTCTTTGTTCCAAGCATTTTGTAAGAATGAGGTGAGATGATTAGCTTAGCTAACATGGCTGATATAAAGTAGATAAGCTGCAATAGCCAATTCTCTTCTCATCTTTCCCTAGTCAGCCCTGAACAAACCAGCTGGCTTTGCTATGACCTGGTAGGATTCTGTCTCATTCTGTGGTCTCTATTACTGAAACATCATCAGTAAATTTGGGCTACTGGGTTTCCATCCCTTCAAGCTTGGAGTCTGCTGCCAGGATTAAATTACAGGGGGCCTGGGATTCGGAAGGCACTGGTTTCACACGACGTTTCCCACGAGCAAACCCCAATTTGGTGGTTAAACTCAGAAACCAGGCATTAAGGGACCATTCCTGCTTCTGCTTCTGAGCTGGTTATGCAGTGTTTCGCGTCCCCATTTCAGTTATAAAACACGGCTGAGTACATTTGCCAACTATGAACCCTACAGGGAGGTTGATGGTTCTGAAAACTGCTTTAGAGTCCTTGGATGAAAGATGCTATAAATTTGTCACTAATGGGAGAAAACACACTATAGGTAAGGTATTCTCCCTAACCTCCGTAGAACCTCATTGTGCTTTGCAGAGGCAAACACCCTTGAGACAGCAGAGGGACTGCTTCTGCAAGATGCCTGTGAGTGACAATGCTAGCATTTGCACAATCAATATTTTCATCCATAAATAACAAGCATTAAGTGGCCATGGGTGGGGTGGGAGGAGGTTCTGTCAAAAAGCAAATGAGCATGTATTCCTGAATCCAGTGGAAAGGTAAATTTCTTTGTCTTTTCTTTTCTTTCTTTCTTTCTCTTTTTAATATATATTTTTTATTGTAAAGATACTGTACAGAGGGGTTACTGTTACATGAGTAAGGTAGTGAGTATATTTCCCAGTCCTGGGGTCTTGAACTCAGGGCCTGGGTGCTGTACCTGAGCTTCTTTTGCTCAAGGTTACCACTCTACCACCCGAGCCACAGTGCCACTTCTAGTTTTTTGGTGGCTAACTGGACATAAGGCTCTCATAGCTTTTCTTGCCTGGGCTGGCTCTGAACTGAGATCTTCAGACCTCAGCATCCTGTGTAGCTGGGAGGATAGGCATGCAATACTAGTACCCAGCCAGTCAAATGCTCTACCCTGAGCTGCATATCACCTTCCTTCCATTTGATTTTTAGAAAGATTTAGGGGAATTGATAGCAGAGATTTTTTTCTTAAGAGAAATTTATAGGTCTGAAAGTTATTTCACAACAAGCTTTGTGTGCATTTATGCCTGTGTGTATGTGTGCGTGCACATGTGCATGCACAATATTGGGGCTTGAACTTGAGGGCTAAGCCCTGTCTCTTTTTTGTTCAAGGCTAGTGTTCTATCACTTGAGTTACAGCCCTCCTTCCAGTTTTTTGCTGGTTAACTGGAGATAAGAGTTTCACAGACTTTCCTGCCCTGGCTGGCCTTGACCCATAATCCTCAGATCCCAGCTTCCTGAGTAGCTATAATTACAGGAGTAAGCCACTGACAGCTGGTCCAACAAGCTTTTATGAGGTTGTCTTTAATTCTTATGAATAAATCTAGCTGGTTCCTGAGGGGGTGGGAAATCTAAACCTAATTTTTGCTCTGCAGCTCCTCCCCCCACATTCCTACTTCCTTCCAAGAAGGATCTCAGAAGCCTTGAGGACAGGATGCAACACAGGGAGAATGAGGGGTGGGGGGTACCACTTCCTACAGGAACCTGGCTCCTTTCTCAGTTGGCATGAAGCTCACAAGCCCTCTGGAAAGAGGTCCTCAATTTTCAAAACTAGTTGCCTCATTTTGCCCTAGGTAGGTAAAATGATGGGAAATACAGCAATAGAGATTTTTGTCTTTCAAAGGGTAGAGATCTAAAAATGACCATGACCTCTTGTTTCTGTGTCTTGGAGTTCATTTTGATATACATCATTCTATATGGTCATATGTGCATAGTTATTGAGCTCTTGTGGGCCTCTTCTAAGAATATCCTCCTCTGGTCTCACTGTATGAATGTTTAGAGTGCTGTGTATTAATCCTGTCCAAGAGTAATTGTTTGTCTTTTACTATCCATTGGGTTTACTTGTAGATTTATAGGCACATTCTGATTATTAGAAATGAGGAAAGCCATGCAGACTATGTTTCTTTGGGGTCTGGTTTTGTAATATACTGTTTGTGGTTCTTTCCGCTCCCATTTTCTTTTGTTGTTTATTCTCTCTTATTGCTGTATTTGATTTCTGTGCCCTTTGTCTTGTATGTAAATCTATCTGTTTTGGGGAGATGGGGGGTAGCACAGAAATGGTGGGGCAAAGGGGGAGCCAATTCGGCAGTGATAGTCACTAGACACTATGTTGGAAATGAACTAAACAACTCAGATGGGGGAAATGGTAGTGGAAAAACTGGGAGAGAATGAGGGAGTAGGTGACACTGTTCAAAAGGAATGTACTCATTACCTGGCTTATATAACTGTAACCCCTCTGTACATCACCTTTACCAATAATTTTTTTAAATGACTATGACTTAATGTTTCAAATCTTCTTGATTATGTATTAATAAATAACTGAAACAATAAGGTCCACATCATTGATGTCATTACTCAGTAAGTAGTTTTGCTCTTCTACTATGTACCAGACCTTGGCATAGGTTCTTAGCAGCTTGGAAATACTTCATAATCTCTCATAGAAACAATCAGCAGAAGTTTATCCACATCTAAAAAAAACATTTTCAAGCTGTAACATGATTCCTTGAGATGGGAGGAGTTTAGATAAAGAGGTAATGGGACAAAACCTCATTCACGCCAGCCACGGGTGGCTCATACCTGCATTCCTAACTACACAAGAGTCTGAGAGCTGAAGACCATGGCTCAAAGCCAGCCTGTGCAGGAAAGTCCATGAGACTCATATCTCCAAGTAATCAGCAAAAAGTTAGAAATGGAGTTGTGGCTCAAGTGGTAGAGAAGCTAGACTGTTTTCATTCAGGGTCTTATTGGAAGTTCCCATACATTACAGTGCATTTTTTTTCTTGCCTAAGTCGGGGGTGCAGTGATATCCTTTACCTGTTCTGTAGCCAGTGTTGTTAAGATAGACGGCAAAGGTCCGAGGTTCGTGTATTGCCTGCCATGAGGGTGAAGAGCAGTTCTCATTGTTGGTGTAGACGTTGTGGTTATGCACATACTTTCCGGTGAGCATGGATGACCTGGACGGGCAGCACATGGGTGTGGTCACAAAGGCATTGGTAAAGGTGGTGCCCCCATGTTCCATAATCTTCCTCGTTTTGTTCATGACTTGCAGGGACCCTGAAAGGCACAATTTCAGCATGGTTTAGCAATATGTACCTCACAGTGGCTCACTGATACCACATCTGTCACTCCTTACCTGCTCATCTGACACATGACTTCCCTCCCAGGAGTTGAAGTAGCCTATAAATTGGTCAGTTCTCATTTCTAGATCAAAACAAAACATTTGAGGACTTACCGTCTCAAACGTTGTGTGGAATTATACACACATTTCAGTTTCTCTTCTCCTTAATCACCAAGGGTGGGAAAAATATAAGCTACCCTGACCATTACAGGTACAATTTTAGATAGGAAGCAGACTCAGCAGACTCTTCAAGACTACAGCTTGTAACACAGAATATCAAAGCACACACTCACCACATATGAAAACACTAGTGAGAAACAGAGATTACTAAATGTAACATTGTGATCATATGAAAGAAAACAGAAGAAGATATTAGGTAAAAGTTTCTTCAAAATATCTGTACTTAATTTCAAACAAAACGTTCTTCCATAGAACTTGGTATTATTTAGCCAGCTAACCAAACCTCTGCCAATCTTTCTGTCAAGTAAAGACCACCAACTCATAGTTTGCTTAGTTTACATGTTGTTTGTTTGACACTGAGCTTTTATTTTGTTATTGTTTTTATTTTTTTCCACAAGGCTAATACTTTGCCACTTGAACCACAGCTCCCTTTCTGGCTTTTGGGTGGTTCATTGGAGATAAGAGTCTCACAGACTTTCCTACCCAGACTGGCTTTGAACTTAGATCTCAGCCTTCTGAGTAGCTAGGATTACAGCCATCAGTGCCTGGCCTGCAAGCTAGCTCATTTACTTATGAAGCAACTATGATCCTGTTATACTCAGAAGTATTTCCATGGTTGTAAAACATATTCCTTTTTACTTTCAGGATGAACTAGTAATGTAAGATTGCTAAGAAAGGAGGAGGGGGAAAAAAGCCTATTTTGATGATTATACTCAGCCAAACACTGCAGCTGAAGCACTTCCAAACACTGCAGAAAAGCACGGGCCAGAATTCAATAGTCTTTTCAGAACTTGTCAAGAAATGCACTGCAGAGTGCCTCAGCCAAGCCCATTGCATTTGAATCCCAGAGCCTCAGATTTCCAGCAGGTCTCACTCCTTCCAATGAAAGGGAGAAAGTCTGTGCTTTCCAGCAAAGAAGGAACTCATAATGCAATCCAGGCAAGCATTCAGAGCAGAAGAGAAATGCTCAACAGTCTAAAATTCCACACTTACCCTCATTTCCTCATATGTTAGCTTTTGTTCCATGTACATGATGCATGTGAGAGTACATGTGAGAGATTTCTAATAGGATGTCATAAGCTCCTTAAGATACAACTTGGCGAAGAAGGCTCCTAACAGCTCTTTCTCTTCTGGTTGTTTTCCCGGGGATGAAAAAAATCTTTTGTAGTCAGTAAATAACCTGTAGTGAAGTGCCCACTTCATGCTGAACATTCTACCAACCTCAGCATCCAGGGGAGCCATTGCCCCTTCCCCAAGTGTTCTCAGAGCACAATAATCAAAAAACCTTCTGCCTCTGGCCTTCAGTAGTAAGCTCTCTGTAGCTGAAAGCTACATGCAGAAATTGTTTAAGCATATCTGCAAAGCAGCATATAAGAATGTGAATTGTGGTAATGGTTCATAGAAGGAAATAGGTGACTGGAATAATGATGCTAAGAGTTCCAAAATAAGACATGAGGACAAATGAAAGAAATGGAAGAAAAAAATGTTGGGTGGGTGGGGACCACTGCTGGGAACACAGGGGGATGATGACATGGGTGGCATTCTGGAAGTGGCAAGAACCAAGTAGAGCCACATGAATGGCACACTTATGTCCTGGCACAAAAAGGAAAATTAATTTCCTCCATGAAATGTTAAAGCAGTGTTAGCAAATAACTTGAATGTAAGACAGAGATAATTTGGTTTGAGCGAAGAAACAAGACAGAGAGCCAGGTGCAATGGTACATATCTGTAATCCCAGCAGATTGAGGTATGATGATTAGGAATTTCAGGCCAGTAGGCTACATAGCAAAATGTCATCTTGGAAAACAAACAAGCCAAACACAAACACACACACACACACACACACACACACACACACACACACACACACACACATGTATCTGTGGCTCACACCTCTTGTCCTATTACTACTCAGAAAGCTGAGATCTGAGAATCCCCATTCAAAGCTAGCCTGGGCAGAAAAGTCTGTGACACTCTTATCTCCAGTGAACCAGCAGGGCTTGAAGTAAATCTGAGGCTCAAGTGGTAGAGCACCAGCCTTGAGTTAAAAAGCTAAGGGACAACATCCAGGGCCTGCGTTTAAGTCCCAGTACCAGCACATAGACATGTACAACACACACGCACGCAATGCAAAAGAGGGTCTTTGCTAAAGGCATGAAGAATATGATAAGGGAAATGGTTTTGAGAGGTGTTGTTTTGGAAAGGACAGTATGTGAATTTAGGAGGATGTATGGCTTGTCTGCCATCTGCATAGGGTGATGGTGGCTGCAGCTCTCCACCACTGGGGCGACAAGAACTTGGACCAGGTAGCTCTCCTGACACAGAGAGACTCAAAGCAGATCCCACTGATGTCCTAAGACACCAGTGGGCCATCAGTGACCTCAAAGATTTTGAGAGGAAGAAAGCTGGAAATGTCATAGTTTTGCTGGTGGTAGAGAATTGAAGAGAAAATGTGCCTGTAGACAACCAAAGACATATTGGATGATATTTATGTGCTGATTGATCAGCTAAGGGAAACATTCTGGTGATAAACTATGAAAAAGAGAGTGGGAAATGAACAGAAAAGGAGTGCGAAATGTAGCTGAAGACACCCATTCGCTTCCTTCTCTTCCCCTCCTTAGAGATCTCCAGTGTTCACTCACTGTAGCATCCTGAATTTCAAGAAAACAGCAAGCACCACACAGCGGATGGTTTTCCTTGTCTAACAGTCTACTTCAAAGAACAAGTTTCCTTTATGAGCCTTCACTGAGTTCAAATAAAAACAGGAATGCAGCTGGAGGTGATTGACCCAGGTCCTGAATCATACAACTTCCAGTTTACACAATCATTTGGACTGCAAATGTGGGACAGAAGTAGAAATCTGACCAAGAGTCAAAAGAATATCAAAACTGGGGCTAAAACTTAGCCCAGATTCACAATGCCTAGCATAGCCAGGCAAGGCTCTCCTCTCTTCTCAGCATCACCCTTTTCTTAATGACCTGAGCTGACCATAGGGAGATCCTACACAGTCTCTCCATTAAATTCCCTATTTCCAACCAGACCCTTGTCGATGGGAAGGATGCAGAGTCCTGATGATTCCTGAAGGTGCCATTAACAATGCAGCTGCTCCACTGGGGTGGAACAAAGACAATGTCTTTCAGCCAGATACTGGCTGAACTTCTCAGAAATGAGAAGCTTCTCAAACATTGCTTGTCCAACTCTAAAAAAATCACTTGACACCAGGTGCTGGAGGCTAATTCCTGTAATCCTAGCTACTCAGGAGGCTGAAATCTTAGGATTATGGTTTGAAGCCAGCTCAAGCAAGGAAATGTGTGAGATTCTTATCTCCAACTAACCAGCTAAAAACAAGAAGTGAAGCTGTGGCTTAAGTGGTAGAGCATCAGCCTTGAGTGAAAAAAATCTCAATGATACCATCCGGCCCTGAGTTCAAGCCCTAGTACAACAGAAAACATACACACACACACACACACACACACACAACAAACAAACAAACAAAAACATCTAGGCATAAGTCGTTTATGCCTGTAATCTTAGCTACTTAGGAGGCTGAGGTCTGAGGATCCTGGTTCAAAGACAGCAAAAACCAGCAAGGTCTGTGAAACTGTTATCTCCAATTAACCACCAAAAAGCCAGAAGTAGAGAGGTGACTCCAGTAGTAGAGTTCTAGCTTTGAGCAGAAAAAGCTAAAGGATGGCACCCAGGAACTGAGTTCAACCCCCAGTACCCACATAAAAAGCAAAATGGTAAAAATAAGAATCATTTGAAGAACACGGATTGCAGAGTCCTAGGTCCCAGTCTAGATACTGGTTTAGTATATGGGAGACAGCCTGAGAATTTTTATTTCTAGAGGCCTGCTCCCTGGTATGCTGAAGTGGCTTGGGGATTGGACACAGAATTAGGGAATTATGGAGCTGGATGAGACTTTGGTGAGAGGCTCATTTTGATTGATCTGGGTGGCTTAAACCACTTCCTAGAATATAAGATAAACACCAGACAGGACTCCATCTCAGCCAGGTTCACATGCATAACCCTGACAATCACCCTTTGTGGCAGGGGCTATTACTGAAGGTTTCCTGTGTTCTGTATGATGAAATGAAGTGCACAGGGTTAAACCATACATCCACAGCCACACAAGGCCTCAGAAGCAGAGCCCAGATGCAAATGTAGTCTTCCCCAGTGACTACACTCTGAAACACCATCCAAGCTATGTACTCAGTAAGACATTGATGTGTTCAAGACTTCAAAACACAGATGACAGTCAGGATGGATCTCACTTCCTGCATTTTCATCTAGTTTCATCTGGCCTCATAAGGGAGGCCGACAGACACTAATTCCTCCCCTCTCCAGGGCTATGCAGATCCCTATACAGCTCAGGCACAGAGGAGGGAGGCGAGGCTTCAGATTTATGGGCCTTTAGCAGCCATCTACCACCTTGGTGGTCATCACTGCCTCTTATCCCAGTGGATACTGAGTGCACAGATGATGAAGTGCAGGAAACTGAAGCTTTTCTCCCAGCTGCGCTTGTGTGCTCTAGAAAGAAAAACTCCAAGCACCTCTATCCTTTTTACAGCTACGTGTTGATTGATGCCTGCCAATCAAATTGCCTTGTCTTGCACCTACTCTTGCTGTGATATGTTATAGATTTTCATCTGCAAGTTTTACCAAAACAATTCTTCAGTATAACTCATAACCTGCTGTGGTGATGCTCAGCTGCAATCCCAGCACTGGGGAGGCTCAGACAGGAGGATTGCAAGTT